GTAAAGGCAAGCTGAACTGAACAGAAGACGTGAGAAGTGTAGAGCAAGGCAAGGGTGGAAGGGTAGGACAGAGAGAGCGTAGGCCAAGTGAGGTAGGGAAAGCAAAGCAGACAACGTGCAGCGTTGAGGCAGCACTGACAACACAGACACTTGGGAACAGACTTGGACAATTTTTTGTGGCCGGAGGCGAAAGGGCGCACAAGAAGGAGGCCAATAGTAGCAGGCGCTTCTCAGTCAGCAGACAGAATGACAAAGGTCCGCAGCTAGGGAAGAGAACGGTGGTGAGGAAGATCAACTCCACACTACGACAAAACGCAGAAACCCACCTCACCGAACGATAGCAGACTGGGGGAGCGGCTGAAGCTAAAGCACGATTTGGCAGCAGGGAAAGGGGGGCTGAGGAGGGAAGGTGCAGCTGAGGCGGTGGTGTCCATGGGTGCAAGAAGGCATGGAATGAGACACAGGAGGTATGGAAGAAGGGGAGACAAAGAAACTTACAGTGAGAAGGTGGCCAAAAAAGAGAATGAAAAAGAATGAAAAAGCGTATGGGTAGCAAAAATCTTTGTGAATAAAAGACCCAACAATAATCGGATGAAGTGAATGGCTGGCCAAGGAAGAGTAGCACAAATTGGTGATAAAGACAGCGGCAGCAAGTTGAGAAGCATGGGGCGAGATGGATTGGACACGGAAAAGAACTGGTTAGGACACGGTACAGGCTGCGCTGAAAAGAGATGAAATGAATGAATATTCGGCATTGACAGTGAGCAGCAATTGGAAGACAGGGGTGGAAGAAGAGGAGCCGGACACATAAGAAGAGTGAGACAAAGAACACAAGAGGGAAAATTGGCAGCGATGGGGTGGGGCACCACTCACAAGTGCACGGCCGCGCGTACCTGGTGTGTGGGGTTGGCAGGTGAGTCAGATGGCAGCAGTGAGGTGGCCGTTGGAAACTAGGCACCTCTCAGCAGACTGAAGGACAAGCTCCTCACGCGAGGGAGAAAGGGAGAAAGGTTCCGAGAAGGAACGATGGCGCAAGGTGATACGGAGAGGGGGTATGGTTGGAATCTACCAGAAAGAGGGCTTTGACTGGAGTCGTCCAGAAAAAGTGGAAAAGCGAATAGATGCTAGCCTAACTTCAGATTGGAGAGCGAGGGGGGAGCACGGAGAGGAGAAACGAGGGAGGGCAGGGTTGGAATGTAACCTCATGCATGGCGTGCGCTGTGGCACCCATCAATCAGGCGCGCCGCACGCCCACCCTAACCTATCCCTTCGCCTCTCGCCTCGCACGTCAATTCCATGATAGATTCGTGCATACATCGCGCCGTTCGCCTCTCTCCATCCCATCATTCGCCCGTCCGTCCTCGTCGTTCGGCGTCCCGTCGCACATCCGAGTCCAGCCCATCGCGTCCTATCGACGAGCACCGCAGCACCTGCACTCGCCACTTGCGCTGAACGCATGCAGCACCACGGAGCTTCAATATGAGTGCATGCACGGATGAGGTCGACCGCGAGCGCATAAGATTCAACGGCGACGACGCCACTAACAATGCCTGCCGCGCTCTTAGGGCACTGCTCTGGCAGTTGCTTCGATGTTCGCTCGGGAAAAAGAAGATTTCCGTGCGCGTCGATTCTTCCGCCCCTCGCACGACCACTATACGAGCATTAAAGGCTCGGAGGGAGCACCACGTGGCGCAATCACGATATTAGCACGTGGGATGCAGGTTCGGGCGATTCAAGGGATTGGAGAGAATGCGGTCTCGGGGTGGGCACTCGTTGGTAACGCGATGCAACCACTCGCCGAGATTCGTTCGACGCGGCGCTAACTCCAGGTGAGGTTCGGATTAAACGACGACGGAAGACTATTACGAAGCGCTCGCTAGTCCTAGTCTCTCTGCTTGTCAAATCTGGCAAGAATTGACTCGGTTTAGGGGGTGGCCTAAAACGGGGATCATGAATGGCCTATCGAGATCATAGAATTTTGCTGAAAGGGAAAGCAGAGAGTCTTCGAACAGACACACACTTCGTCAGGTTCAAAAGGGTGAGGCCGAACATTTGCGAAGCCCGCTGCTGAGCAAGGCGAAACAAAGTCTCGGCAGATGAATTCTGTTCGTGATGTGACACAGCGTTACAAGTGTTATCAGCTCCAACCGAACCCAACCAAGAGAAGAGGGAAAGAGTCGGGATTTTTTCCAACGGTTATGTGATTGGAACGATAAGACGGGATACATTATCTCTTAGGGGCAACAGGAACAGACCTATTCAAGCCAGGAAATCGCCGCGCGTCGCTTCAGCCACTCTGTTCGAATGGACGATGTGGATGATGGAAAGATCAGGCGGTGTCGGACAAAACCGAGCGCGAGCAGAGTCATCGTATTCTTCCTTCGTAGATTCCAATAAACGCAATGCTGGTCATTAGCACGCAGTGCATCATTCCTCTTGTCCTCGTCGGATCGTTCGCATCATGCCGATCGAGGATTTTCGACCGCGCGACCGCCGCCATGCCTCGTCACGACGACGTGAATGGCACCCTGCCATGTGCTGCCATCCTGCACTTCTTCGTTCGCGTCGCACCTCACGTCGCACACGCTGCCATACACCCAACGAAACAGTTCGATTCCTCCCTACTCTCCCCCCCCCCACCCCCTTTTCCCCGTTTCCCCACTCTGCTCGGCTCTAAGGTCCGTCGTCCCTCCTGTTGCCGTGCTACCAAACTGCTGTTGAAACACGTGGTTGTCGCCACTTCCCCCCCCACATGAGAATCAGTTTGCAAGTGCTGCAAATCTGCGTACAAGCCGAGTCGTCAGTGGGCGGAACGATCAGTGGAGGACTGGAAGTAACATGTGCGGAAAAGGACTTCAGGATATCCAGGGAGAATTGTAGAAGGGACGATTGGTGGGATTGGTGAGTCATACAACATTACCTCGTCCAACCTGGCTTCTACTCGTTTCCCCTTCCACTCCTGACCCGCACTCCTCGTATTTCAACGCCTTAGTCCCTCTCTGTCTCTTCTCAGACTCTTACGACTCTCTCCAACGCCGATTCATCTAGCATCGGGTACGTTCACTCTGCCTTCCACGCCACGACCAGTAGTACTAGGGTACACACGCAAGTTCACCCACTTCAAGCCTCACACCTCTTCCGCTCCTTCCCAGCGTCGCCTCACTCATCCACCGCTGTTTATGCTATCATTCTACTCTCCTCATCTCCCACCAGTACTGCCTCTTTCCGCCCTTGGGGTTTCAGATTGTTTGATTTAAATGATTTGTAGATTATTTTTTCCAAAATATTCTTGTCATTCAATTGGTTCCTGCCCCATTCAAATCTATCACTTGGTCTCTTCTCCTGTGTCTTCGTCACCATTCTTACCCATCGATATCTCCCCCCTTCACTAAACCTGAAGTAGAAGTTCTGTCTGAGTGCAAGCATTTTTTGTTTCCTGCGATAGATAGAAGGGAAGGAGGAGGCGATGGAGCCGGTGAATGCATCTACGGAAGAGTTATTGGCGGTGAGAGCAGAACTGGAATCAACTAAAGAGGAGTTGGCATCAACCAAGAAAGAGCTGCAATCGACGAAAGAGGAGCTGGCAGTACTAAAAGGAGAAAACGCCGAAACGAACTTGCGGAGAATATTACGGGTGAGCGAGTGAAGATGATCACAAATTTGTATGTAGTGGGTGTTGCAGCAGATCAGTGTGTTGTTGGGTTGATCAGGGTACAGATGAAAAAACTAGTGTTCATCATCTGCTTTTTCTTCAAAATCTACAAGTGCTTTTCTTGCGTTGCGTTATCTTTCAGTTCTGGGCGTTAAGCAAGGAAACGATGTGTATCTGTTGTGCCTTTGTTTTGTGTTGCAGCCCATCAACTGTACATCAGATGACCCCGAGCTGCATCTTAGAAACGTCAACCTTTTAAATGACATCATGGACTTCATCGGCACTATGACCCACCTGAAGAGATTGACCTTGAGGGGTCCCCCGGCTTCAGCATTGGCATCAGCCACCTCTGCAGGCTACCACATCTTGAGAAGCTTAATTTGGGGGAGACTGACATACTAGACAATGGGCTAGAAGGCATTGATGCTGCAAGCAGCCTTACGGAGCTGAGCCTCAGTGGCACGGATGTGAGTGCGGATGGCCTGCGCCATCTAACAAGCCTTTCTTCACTCAAGAGGCTTCAACTTGACTACTGCTTCTCTGTAGGATCTGCTGCCATGACGTTTGTACGCTCGCTGACTGGCCTTGAGGCGCTCCTCCTCGATGGCACAGCGGTGGGGGATTATGGGCTGAAACTCCTGACCTCCCTGGATCGGCTGAAAGAGCTCTCATTGCCTCGTGGGGTTACTGATGCTGGCATGGAGCATGTCATGCACTTCACTGCCCTGGAGGAATTGGATTTGAGGGAGTGCACATTGGTGACGCAGAGAGGCCTGGAGTGCTTGACGAATTTGCCCTGTTTGAAGCAAGTTGTAATGCCAGGGCAGAGGTTTTAAGCACTTGGGCTGCCTTGGCTCCTACGAGGGCTGTGGGTTGGTGGCACAGCAGTGGATGATCATGAGTTGGAATGGTATTCTTGACCACCTGGAATATGCTGAACAGCTGTCATGGTCTTAGGTTGGTGGGATCACTATTGCTGGCATGGAGTATGTCATGCACTGACTTGACTGCCCTGGAGGTTTGATACCATAACTCAAGGGGTACCTGGAGGGCTTACAGGATTTTCCCTTCCTAGAGCGAAGTGTACTCCCTTCTAAGCAAATGTACAGCATATGGTATGCGATGGCCCAAGTACGCCGCCACATGACCAACAAGCCATGCTTACTATGTCTCCACGCATCAAAATCCAGACGGCCAACAATTTTGAGCTTTAGTTCACTTTGAAGCAACATACCCACCACACCAACCAGGTCATGAGCAGCATTGAAGGACGAAATTGTGGGTCAACTAAATTACACTTTTTATGACAAGCATAGAGAAAGCTATGCAGCAACTCCCATCAAGCTGGTCACGCAATTCCCTTCACTGCACACTGCAACGTCCCAAGCTCATTTGCACTCTCGAGACGAGATATGCAAATGCAGCCTTGGCAGCTACCAGCTTCCACAATCCTCCGTAGGCATCGACTCCATAGGGTGCTGGTGTCACCTATGCCAGGTCCGACCAGCTGTCACTGCCGAGCCTCCCACCTCAAGCATCTCAAGTCCCAGCCTCCTCACATGTACCATGCCAGCATCTGTCACACCCTTGCAATCCTGAAGCCATAGCACTTTGAGAGAGGAAAGACGTGTCAGGTGCGCTAGACCAGCATCGGTCACATTGGTATGATGGAGAAGGAGGCTCCTGAGACTGGTCAAGGACCCAATGCCTTCCAAGGCACTGTCTGACACGTCTGTCCAGCCAAGATTCAGTGTCTCTAGCCGTGGCAGCCTGAAAAGTTGCTTGATGCCGTCTGCACTGAAGCCAGAGGTATGGTTCATATCTATGCAGTTCAGATTGGCCATGGTGGACACGTGGGAAAGGATGTCGTCTGAGAGGTCGTGGAGAGCCGCCAGGCTCAGATGATTTCTTCGGGAAGCTTCCTTGATTTGCTGGAGGGGATGGATGAAGGAGTGAGTAACACAAATTATGACGACTGCAAACGACAATCGCCTCGCCAAACAATACATGCTGTGTCAAACGACGCATGCCGTGTCAAGCCATGCATGCCCTTCAAATCATGCAACGCCCTGTCAGAGCCAAGCATGCCCTGTCAAACAGTCCACTCAGCACTCACCTCCCATGCATCCCTTCGATCGCCTTCACTCTGGCTGATTTCCAGGTCAACATGTTGCCATCTCCTGCAGTATGACAATTCCTCCATGGCACGTGGCCCAATAAACTCCTCCACTGCCTGCTCCCTCTCCCTTGCCAACTCCGCTTTCATCTCATCCGCTTTCTTTGTAACCTCCTCTAATAGAACTCTCAATTCCGATTCCCTGCTTCTCTCAGCTATACCCAATTGTTCTATCATTGCATCCTTCAACGCAGCCAGTTCCCGCTTCACTACTGCCAGCTCCCTCTCCCTCTCCTCCACCTGTCCTCGTATCTCCTTAATCTCCGCCATACGTCTCCTCTCAGCCTCCTCCAGCTGCAATGCAGTTGACTGCTTGTGCTCACACAACCCCCCCTTCATCTCAGCCAGCCCTCCTCTCATCTCAGCCAAACCCCCCTTCACCTCAGACAAGCCACCCTTCACCTCACCCACCTCCCCCTTCACCGCGGCCAACTCCCCCTTCACTGCAACCAGCTCTGCAAGAAGCTCCTCCCTCATCTCTCGCATATCCAACTCTCTTCTCTCAGCCACATCCCGTTGCTCAGCCAACTCCCCCTTTACTGGTGCCAGCCCCCTCTCCCTCTCATGGATCACAGCATCAGCTGCCTTGTTCCTCTCGTTCACAACACTCGAAGTGTGCCGCAGCTCATTCACCTCCTCCTTGTGGGCAGCCAGCTCCTCTCTCACTGCTGCCAGCACCGCCTCCCTGATCAACTCGTTCAGTCCATTCAGCACTCTTTCAGCAGCCATATCATCCACTCACTGACTCCCCTCAAACAACCCTTCTTCAATGAATGATCCCTGCGTTCAACTGTACTTTTCACAGGAGACTTGCAAATGCGGACAAGCCTGAGTAGCGCAGGGTTGACCGACACCAGAGAAACCAGAACGCAAAAAGAAAAGAGGGGGAAAGGGCATAGTATGCACACACACGACGAACAAGACCAACAACATGGGCGTGAGGGATTAGGCAGTGATGTGAGTAAGAGAGCAGATAAGGAGCAGCAGAAGAGGGAGACTTGACTGGCACACAGAGGGCTGGCACACAGAGGGCTGGCACACAGAGGGCAGGTGCAAAGAGGGCTGGTGCACAGAGGGAGTAGTGTCAGTCACATGTAGCTAGGACGAGCAGAGCAGAAAGAGTGACGTGACCAACGTATAACGTAAGAGAGAGTTCTCACTCTGCTCCTTACCACAGTCAGGTAGGTGACTGAGGGAAGCCGAAGCGAGCAAACAAGGAGGGGCTGGCCGTTTGAGGTGCTGCTTGAGATGAGATGGAAGACTCCTGTAGTCGACTCTAAACATGGCCTAAAATTCGATTTGGCTTTCAGAGAGCTGGTCAGCTTGAGACGACGGGGCTGACCGAAAATTAGTGTGACTCCGCTTGCGCTGGCGGTTTTCTATTATACACTTTCTAAGATATGCATTCACGACCACCTTCCCTTCTTTCACACAGCTCCTCTGTTGGCTGAGGTCGGCAGACCACGTGAGACATGCAAAATCCCCTACGGTGGTTGATTTAGATTACACCTGGAGAGGGTAAAGACAGGATGGCTCGCGAGTCACAAGCTGGTCTAATACAGGCTAGGTCGACTACTACCTAGGTCACTCGGAAGCTAGTTCGGTCACAAGATAGCCACTCACACGCTAGAGCAGAATGTCAGTCACAAAGTCAGTCCGAGGCTAGGTTCACTCACTGGCTATTTCAGTCAAAACCTGAGTCAATCTGAGGCGAACTTCCATAAGCTAGGTCAATCAGAGAGCTTATGCTAAATCAGAGGTTAGGTAGGTAATAGGCTAGGTTAGCCACAAGCTAGGTCATTCACAAAAAGAGCCAGGGAGGCTACGACGGTCCTAAGGTAGATCAGTCACCGGCTGGGTCAAGCCAAGGTTGGCCACAGCTAGGTAAGCCACAAGGTAGGTCACTAACGGTCAGTCAATCAAAATAGAGGCTACGTCAGTCACAAGCTTAGAGGTTAGGTCAGTCATGGGCAAGATCACCCAGAGGATGGGACAGTCAATTTCGTTCACAGGCTAAGTGGTCAGAGCTTGGGCGAGGGACAGCGTGGCTGCCTGAACCACGGCGAGGGAAAGCAGCACGACGTCATGCCAACATGAATCAAGGGGTACTACAGTTCGATGAATTTCTAACGCGACTCAATATGTCTCTAGAAGTTGCGCATTTGGCTCTGCCACAACTACGGGCACCAGGATTCGTAGGTTGTGATGCTTACAATGCGGAAGACCGAGACCCGGGACATGAAAGCGAGGGTCAGGAGTCGAAAGCAGAATCGTACCTTTATCTAGGGTTTCCCGGACTATGGCGTTTCCGCGGCTCTCGGAGTCCGTTGAACTCTAGTGCGTGCTGCGTGATTTCGAGGCTAGCGATTTCTTAAGTGCGTTGGAAGGAGACAGAGAGGAGTGGGAAGCGGCGAGAAGACATAATACGAGCGGCAACGAATGACGACGCCGTTGTACCGCTGTGGTGATTCGTATTACTTCGTCTAACGATGAGAGAATGCCCTTCTACTATGGCGTCGCGACGCGTCGTGATAAGCTGCTTAGCAGGCGGGTGATTAGAGGATCAGGAGGAAGCGAACTTTCCGTGACTTCACTGATTGGCACGATACTAGCAAGATTGAAGTTGCAACATGCGTAGTGGCTTTTACAGAAAATCGAACCTCACTACTGCGACAACAAACAATCTTCACGATTCTATCCCCGCAGGTTTCGCGAAGCTGTACGCGAACACTAGAAAGGCCATTGCGATCTATCGAGTCGGCTTGGACTGGACATTCGGTAACCAGATCTGAACAGACCGAAGGGGTGATGGATTTGAATACTACATTGAGCAAACCCGATAGAATTTACTATAACCTCAGAAGCATCTTTTTGGTGTCAATCTCCAACGGTCGACTAATTTGCATTCACTCTACCTTATCCAAACGACACGACGTTTGGGTAGAGCATCTCAGGCAGTCAGTCCATTCGATGACGACTGAATGAGCATCGCGAAATGCGGAATTCACCTCTTCGTCATACCACGCACGTTCTGTAATGACGTCACACCTTCCCACCCCTTCCCCATTTCCGCCGTGTCACCGCAAGCTGACGCCGGTCAAGTCACCCGCGCCACTGTCAGGTCCTCTCATTACACCTCGCCATGCAGCGCGTTCGTGAGAAATTAACATCCAGTAACCACGCTGCCATACGATGCTCTGCCCAGCCGCTCATTCTAACAGGTATATTAGCTGCGACCAGTCGCTCAGTCCAGCCGCTCATTCGAATTCTGCGCGGATTTCTCCACTGTCCACAGCTCGTGCTCGCCTTGCGCTCACTCGAATCCCTACGCTTAACTTGAAAATTTGACGGATTAGGTAATGTTAAGATGATCCGAAAGCCATTCTGTGCCCTGCTCTTCTAATTATATTCATGCTTGCATTCTGGTACACTCATAGTAACGTCTCGCTTGCTAACCCTAAACTCTCTTTTTTTATCCTACCGCCGTGCCGCAGCAGGTGCACGCCTTGCATTGGGCTCGTCCGATCAGCCATGGCTCGGATGACTGCAGTGGCCATGCTGCTGCCAAGGCTGGTGGTCGCCCTCCTTCTCGGCGCTGCAGTCGTTGCCATCGCTGCCGTCAGCACCATCAAGCCGCTTCGCAGGGATGCCTGGCAGGCCATCATCGTAGAGGACGTGAGTGAATGACATGCGCGTCAGACATATGTTCACGATATTTGGCTTGCAGGTTGTCTTGCAGTTGCTGGTGTATCATCATGCATGCACCTGTGCACTTCTTTCCTCGTTGTTGCAGCTGCCACGTGGCACTGACAACCACCCTCTTATCCTCCCCCCTCCTTTTCTCAATCATGTAAGCAGGTTGTTTTGCCCTCACAACCATGTTCGTTGTGACCTGTTTAAGCTAATTATGGTTTCTTTTCATCCCTGCTGAGTCTGTGTGTGCTTCACGCTTGCGTCTTGCCCTTCGGATGCATGTGTTGTGTGCCTCGCAGTTCAATACCACTGCCACGTCTCAGAGCGGTGCGTGTAGACCTGCCATTCATACTCACGCAATCGCCGCCTACCTTCAACATGCCCACGCCCTGAGCGTGCCTCTTCACTCCCTCCTTTTGGGGAACTCACAAAAGGATCTGTTGTTCCGTTTAGTTGTTGTACCTTATCGCCCTTACACTCTTACTCATTTGTCACTGCTTCCACGCTGTTTGACCCATGCCTACAGCCATTGCTGCCCGTGCTATATCTTATCATCGCCACTCTGCTAACGCTGCTGTGGGGGATGGGCGTGACCCACACGCAAGTCAGAGCATGGGTGCATCAGCAGGGCTTGGCTGTGACGGCTGGGCTGATGAAGCTGAAGAGTGCAACCAAGTGCCTCCTGGTATGCCACGCGCTCTACCCTCCCGAACTCGTTTTTTTCCCTTTTGAAGCTATCTACCCCCACTCCCCCATCACTCCTGTTTCCCATGCTGCCGCATTCCTCTCCCATTTCTCATCCTCCCATGCGCTCTGCCCTCAAGCTTTCGTATGTGCCAATCCTTCCTGTGAACCTGTGTTTCCTACTCCTTTGTGTGCTTCTCTTCCTCACCCTCACTCCCTCTCCACCACTCATCCTGCCTTCTCTACCTTGCTCTCACCATGCTGCAGCCACGTGGATTTTTCTCTTTGCTGCACAGCCCCATGTAAGTCTGCCCATTCTCAGCAATGTTCAACTCATGACACATGAACATGCATTTAAGTGGTTACAACAATCTGTGTGAATCCAACAATGTATTTTATCTTGTCTTTATTGAGCTTATGTTCTATTGGTTGTTTTATTATGGTTTTATCTCATGCTTCTGACTGGCTCTCACATGTCCGAAACCTCACATGTCCATGCACTGAGTTCATATCTACATGCTATGCTCTTTGCCGCTTATCATATCTTTACTCTCATCTCTTGTGCTCCTATATTTCATGTCTACGTGCTACATGCATGGTGCCGTCCCTGTTTCATAAAGCTTCCTTGTTGTAAACCTTCCTCCTATCTGGTTCCTGTCTCCTCTATTAACGTTCTCGTATGGTTGACAACATGGCAGCAGCAGCCGAAAGATGCTAGAAGCTGAGGTCTCGCTGCTTACTTTCACCCTTGCTTTCCTCGCTTTACTTCTTCATACCTTCCACTCCTCTGCTTACATTCATTCTCCGTAACCTTCCATGTCCCTCTTCCATGACTGTTGTATGTGTTCAGTGAGGCTGCTGAGCCTGTCATGGCGAGAATGGCCGGAACGCACGAGTTGAAAAAAGCAATAGAGGTGGGAATGAGGGTGCTTGGCGTGCAGCTGGAAGAGACAAGGAGGGAGTTGGAAGATACAAGGAGGGTGTTGGACGAGAGCAAGAGGGAGCTTGCAGCAGTGAAGGGAGAGGTGGCTCAACAGAATGATGCTATAATGAAGTTGACGGTTGATCTGCAAATCAGCCAGAGTGAAGGCGACCAGAAGAAAGCATGGAAGGTGGGTGGCTTGTTTCACAGTGCATGCATTGTCTGCCCCTACATGTCACTTTCATCATTCCCTTCTTCTACTCCTTCCAGAGAATCAAGTCAGCGTCACAAATCACCACTCTCGATTTGAGCAATCTCAGCGGCGTCTCAGACGCCATGCTCGCCCATGTGGGAACCATGACCTATCTGAAGGGCATTGACCTGGACTCTACCTCAGGCTTCACTGTAGAAGGCATGAATCACCTCTACATGCTATCACAGCTAGAAAGGTTAGATCTCAGATGTACATTCATCTCAGACTGTGCCTTGGAAGGCATTGGGTCCTTGGCCAGTCTCAAAATTCTTGGTCTCCAACAGGCCAAGGTGACCGATGAGGGTCTGCTGAACCTGATACATCTCTCCTCTCTCAAAGGGTTGAGGATTTGTGAATGCAAGGGCGTGACAAGTGCTGGCATGGTGCATGTGGGGAAGCTCGCGGGCCTTGAGCAACTTGTGTTGGAGGGAACGGCAATCACAGATGCGGATCTCCTGCATTTGATAGGTCTCTCCTCGCTTCAACTGTTGGACCTCAGCAGATGTAAGGGTGTGACAAATGCTGGCATGGCGGAAGTGGGGAAGCTAATAGGGCTCGAGAAGCTTTGGCTGTATGGCACAGCAGTCACAGATGATGGGCTGCAGCAGCTGTCTTCCCTGACTAGACTGACATGCCTCAGGTCGGCAAAAGGGGAGTGGGTTCGCAATGAGGATGTACGGAGGCGGATAGGCAGTAGGCTGGCAGGGGCGGATGGTGGAGGGATATAAGTCAAAAGAGGCATGAAGGGATGTGAAGGGCGAGGGGAGCTGGGCATTTGAGGGGCCAAATTCCTCCATATGCCCAACACCCCAGGGTTTGCAAATTGCAAAGGTGCACTTGCATGCTGCTCAAAGTAGATGACCAGACCACGTACATTTGTGGGCTTGATGCTCCAGGGCCAATCAGACATAATACCTAGGTGCACGCGTGGTGTGAGCAGTTATGTTTCTGCTTTAGATTGTTGATATCGTAGGTGCTTGAAGACTTCTCATTATGAATGGGGGTCCATAGTTCCCCATAGTTTTCCAAATTTGTCAATGCTTCGAATGTGCAATTGATATCAATATTACTTACCCAACAAGCCTCCTGCGCATCTCCAGCCTTATCCAGCCCCACATACACCATTCAACCAAGGAGGGTGCCTACCTACCAGGTGCTTACGTTGAAGCAGTGTGAGTTCGCTTTCTCACTTGCTCGCCCTCTCCCTCCCCCTTGCACCTTCACATCCACGGGCACTCCTGCACTGCACTACCACGTGTTCCCTCCATCACATTATCGTTGCCATTGGATTCATTCTTTTGCAGAAGGATCTCAAGCACCCCTCCTACCCTCCCCCCCCTCCACCCCCTGACCACCTCCCCCCCCCTTCACCCCCGACCCCCTTGCCCCTCCCCCCCACCCCCCCCTCTTTCTCTCAACCCCCAGCCACCGTACCATGCTTCCCCCATCCAATCGTATTGGTTCTTCCTTTCCCCATAATCCTTCTCTCCTCTCCAGTCAAAACTCCCCTAACCTCCTCTCCCCACTTCCCTCCCCCCCACATTCCTTTTCCCCCACTCCTCTTCTCGAGTTAGTTTTCTCCCCCCCACATCCTAATCATTCACATTCTTCTCTTTCGCTCCCTCGGTGTAATCACCCTTTTCTCCCTCCGCCATCCTTTCCTTGCTCACTCATTCCCTGTCACCTTATTCATCCCGTTGTGCCATGCCATTTCACCCTATCATGCACTTTCTCACGTCACCCCATGCACGAAACAAGTTTCCCTCTCTCTTCCTGCATCCTTGCCTTCACCACGCCACCACCCTCTCGTCTGCTCCCCCACCAATTCAGCCAAGCACCATGGTCATGGCGCCCTCAGGAAGCACCTCTCCCTCCCCGCACTTCATCTGTAGCATGACTGCCCACTGTCACCCTGTGCCCCGCTCCGCTCCATACCCTAATCGTCCTCCGGTGGTGCTATTTATCCCCGCAATCTCTTTCTTCTCCCCACTACTTCCCCCCCCCCTCCCCCCCACACTCCCCCCGGTCCCACCTCCGCCACTCCCGGCCCATCCCATCCCCCACTAGTCAATGGTGTTGGGTTGATCGTGGCAGCAAAGGGTCCATCCCACCCCCCTTCCCTGTGCTTCCCGGCAGAGGAAGCATTGGCATCAGTGGCGATGCACATTGGCAAGACGGCGCCGATGGATTCACTCTTCTCACGCCTTTGCACTGCACGTGCTGTGCGTCGGCACCTGCAACATCCAATGTGATCCCCGCCCTCCCTCCCCTTGCTGCGCCCCTTGTGGCATCATCTCGTAGCCCCCGCATCTTGCATCATGCTCTCCTGTGCGCCATCACATCCTGCTTCCTGCCCACCGCTCACCTCTTCCTACCGTGACGCTGGTATCAGGGTTCACACGGTAGCTGTAGTGGAAGTGCGCGGATCAAGACCCTTGCGTTGCCTTGCCCCCTCTCTTTCATCTCTCACCCCTGGCCCTCTGCCCCCTTGCGTCCTCGCCTCTACCCCTCTCGCAGCCGTGGCGGCACTGTGGTAAAAGTTCACCCGCGAGCAGGCGCTGCCCATCTCTCGGGTCATTGCTGACGGGCCCCCTAACACCGCCACCTTTCTCATTCACCAGAAGCTGCAACTGGTAGGTGTCTTTGAGACATCTCTCGTTTCCCCCACACTGTTTCTTGAAAACTGCAGCTGGTAGGGTCTCTTTCGCTCTTGCTGTTGCATTGGAAATGCGCCCCTTCACCTGCTGATTGCCGGGTATTTGCCCTTTCCCACTCCCCTCTCACCAATTCTTATGCCCTTCCCCCATTCAGTACAGAGCTGCTTGTTCTCTCTCTCCCTTACCCCTCTTGTTCGCCCTTGCTGTATTCCTCTTTCCCCTTATCACCTTGCCCGCTTTTCCATTTTTCATCTCCCCATCCCCGACAGCCCCAGAAAAGCCACAAGTGGAGGCGCAAGCAGCAGGACCCCAAGATGGAGGAGCAAAATCAACATGCTTTCTCCTCCTCCCTCCCCCCTCCCCTTTTCCCCTTCCCTCTCCCCACTTCCCCTTTCCCTAGTCGATTCCCCCTTTCCACCTTCCCCTCCCCCTTCCCTCCCACATCTGCAGGAGTGCATCAGGCAGAGATGCAAGCAGCAGGAGCGGAAAATGGAGGAGCATAATTTGCCTCCTCTTTCTTTGCCGCTCCCTCTTCTGCTCTCTCTCCCCTCCCCCCCCCCCCCCCCCCCCCCCTTTCCCAGCAACACATGCCTACTAACCGTAAGGAGGCCAGCTCATGGCGGCAGCACACTGCCTGGCAGCCTGACACTTAGACAGCCACGGGTTGCAGCAGCAGTTGTGGCGGTGAGTAAAGCGAGTCACGGGGAGAAGAGACTGCTTTCAATTGTTTTCTTTCTTTCTCTATCTGCACCCATTCCCTCCTCTGTTGTCCAAACACCCTTTTCGTCCTCGCAACCCCCTCTCTCCCTGAATCCCCTCCCCCCCGTTTTTTTGCCACCAAAACTTAACTCCCTTTTTAAGCCAACTGCGACCTTCACTCTTCTCCGCTTGCATACAAGCTTCTCCAAAGCTCGTGCGGCGGAAACTGTAGTGATGAGGCCACACATGGTGGGTGCCGAGAGAGGGTGAAGTGGCACTGCGGCACAAGGAGCTGTCCACCCTCCTGGGCAGTGTATGACAGCATGACAGCAGTCGCACAATGCCTACCACTCCCTCTCCTGCTTTCCCCTTGCACCCACATTCCTTCTCGCCCTCGCTTCCTCCTGACATACCTAGCTCTCCTCACGTCTTCATTCGTCTCCTTTCCTTTCCTTCTGCAAGCTCTTCTTTTGCTTGCTCCCTCTCATCTCCCTTTTCTCCCTCCGCCCTCCCTTCCTTATTACATATATTTATTCAATCTTAACCTGAATGCACCACCAACCCATGCATCACGTTGTGCGATGCCCTTCGTCCCATCATCCCATGCCCTTTCAAACCCCTGCATGGATCAAGTTCCCCTCCCCATTCGGGTTATCCTCTTCTGCCCGCCATCACCCTCCCATGTGCTCCCTCACCATCCCAGCCAGGCACCAGCACTGGTTCCATTGCACCTTCAGCCACCAACTCTCCCTCCTTCCCTTATCACCTACACCATAACCGCAAGATGTGCGATCGCCCAATTCCCCCCTCCGCGCCCCACCCTCCCTCCTTTGCTGTGTATTTATACATCTCCCTACTGTCTCTTTACTATCCCCTCCCCCGCCTACCGAAGCCCCCCTCTTACGAGGTGGCTGATGGTGGCAGCAGAGGCGCTGTATTCACTACAATCGCCTTTCAAGAATCTTTACTCTTACCCCCCCTCCTCCCCCTCCACCCCCCTTCTCCCCCCCGGCCCCACCTTCTCTTCCCCTGCCCTCGCCATATCCGCCCCCAGGTGCTCTCTCAGACGCTTGCCATGATGGCATGGCATGGGGGGAGGTGAGGCTGGTGGCGACAGGAATGGTTGGGGTGGGAAAGGCTGCAGCTTATGGCGGGGATGCTTTGCATGTTAGCCACATGAGCTGCCAGCCATGTCAGTATTTTAGTGGGGAAGTGTTGGGGCAGTGGTGCAAGGAGAACTCATCCCATGCTTTATTTCTCAAACGGATTCTAATGCTTACCATTTCCCTATACGTGCCCTCCACTCATTCCTGCCTTCACCCATACCCGGACTTTACTTATGCCCGCACGTCAGTTATGCCTGAACTTTCCTTTTACATTGCTTTGTGCAGTGACTGTAACCAATATAAAAGAGGAAGGCATTCTAATGCGCTGCAGTGAGATGTGGTGGCACCCCTTATTTGCAAGCATGCATTGTAGTGCACTGATGCATTGATTGCATTGTTGCAGGGCACACTGATACGGTATGATTTCATGCGAGATGCAAGTCACGATCTCCAGTAATTTTGGTCCTTCCATTCACAGCACGTGCTTCTGACGGAGGTGGTGTGAGAAGCATTGAGGGACATTAGTGTGTTTGTGAGGAGAACTGCACAGCAGCATGCATCTCATCTACTCCTCTCCCTCGCATACACAGGCCCCATGCATCCTGACACTATGTAATACCGTATTACCCCGGATACTATAAGCGCAAATGCGCTTATAATAAAATCATTTTTTTGAGGGGGGGCGCTTGTAATTGAATAACGGCCATAAGCGCCGGCGCTTAAATAATGACAAATACGAAATTATATATTTAGAGCACCAAATTGTTCATTTTCTTTTTGCCATTTCAACCGAGTCGAAATGTTTTAGCGTCACAAAGCAGAATCTCGCGCAAGCCATATTCTGGGTTCACACACAGGCAAAGCCACGTCATTCCAGCACCTCCTGATTGGACGCGCAGCCAGTCAGGTCTTCGCGAGTCAAACGAGGCGAAATTGAAATCTGGCTCGCTGCAAAAATGGATCTCGTTACTGTTTTAGGAAATAATTTAAATTCAAATCGCATATGCGCTTATAATAAGTAAAGGTTTTCGAGGGGGGGCCCTTATAATCGAATTCCGGCCATAGGCGCCATGCTCCAGATAGAAGCGCCGGCGCCTTTAATCGGATGACGCCTATATCCGGGGCCATACGGTATTGCTCTATTCCCTGAAGGTGTTAAAATGATTTTCTTGGCGACGTGAAGAAGATTTTTCTCATTAGTTATTCTCTAATAGGTAAGAATATTGTTGTCCCAGAAAATAAATTTGCTGAAAACAAAGCTGTTTTTTACGAGTGCAATTGAGTGAGCGAGCGAGAATTGCACTATCGAAGCAAGAGTACAATGAGCGAAGGCATTTTTGGAAACAATCAGTCTTAAGCGCCTCTGTCGTGTCGAAACACTAAGGCACAAGCGCTGCAAAGCATATCGAAGCATCGGCGAGTCAACCTTCGGAGGTTGAAACAACCGTCAGAGGTTACGCGAAAGTCATGGTCAGCGACCTTTGACCTGACAAATGCAGCGCGACAGCAAGGACACACAACTGACTCGATATTGAGCAGTTGCCCGAGTCGCACTGTATCGAACCGCAACAGCAAAACAGTTACAACTGTATCTGCTCGTATCCCTTGTACTCTTATATAATCCTGTATCCCTTTGTTTTACTTAACTTTGCTCTCACATGCCGTATTCTCACGGACATAACACCCTAGGGTAGATTTAAAAATACGGGGAAAAAAAGGGGGGTGTCTTTGAGAAAATGAACGAGAATGGAATGACTAAGGAAAAGTTGGGTACAAGTACAAACCCTAGAAAGCTGTACCCCATATGTGCTACCCCACTATAGCCTACACTAGCTATGTCATATAAATCTGACACACCCCCATAGGCAAAGTGGGGGAGAACAAGGGGTCACAAGACCAGTCAAGCAAAGCAAAGCAAGCTCAGGGTGGATCACAAAGTCACCACACATTCCGAGCACAAGTTCAAGGCCACAAGGCCAGTTCATATGCAGGATTTGAAGTGAAGGATTTTGCCCAGTGGTGTTCAGCCACCTCCAGCACGAGCAAGGGGGAGTGTTGATTGTGTAGGTGGTTGTGGTATTTTGCTCTAGCTGGTTGTGGGCTAAGGGTTTGGGCAAAATGTGGTGTTGTGGGCTGGTATTGATCTCGCACCCAACAAGCACCAACAAACCTTTGCTATTCACTACAACACCTTTGGTGTTGCTAGTTTAGCACTTTGGGTTGTTGGGGATTGTTGTAGGGCGAGGGTTGGGTTGGTAGGGTTTGAACAACTCGTCACTTTTCATATCTGAACTCTTGCTAAAGCTAGTCTTTTGGTCTAATCCATGGCTGCCTACTAATTCCGCCAGAATACACCGTTGCACTTAAATCGCGATAGCGATCGGCCTAGATCTTGGTTGAAAGCGTGCGTTACCATTCTGGAAAGTAGAGATTAAGACCGTTCCAACGCGTAGCTGCTCATAGTTTAAGGTTACGTGAGCTGCACGCAATGTTCCGTCGAAGTCGGTGGACTTAATCTCTTGTACGCTCTCCAGATTCACGTGCTTTCCATCAGTGGTATCAGAGCTGGTTAGGCCTGCGACATTCCCTCCTATTATCATATTACGAATTGGCTTAAGAATCTCCAGATCTAGGGTTGGTTATGGCCCAGAAATTAGATGGCCCTCCTAGGTTCACCGGCTCGGATTTTTCGCTATGGCGGTTCCAGTTTACGCTTTGGCTAGGTATCAAAGACCTAGAAGGCGTTTTGGAGGGATCGGAGCGAAAACCTGAAGCTGATGAAGGAAAGGCATCTACTGGAGTCTCTAGCCAAGTGAGAGAAGGGGCTGGGGGAGCCTCTAGCTCATCCATAACTGAGGGAAGTGGAGGTGGACCAGCAGCACCACGAACCGGAAGGCAACGGCTTAGTACAGAGGAGCTTCTTAAGGCACAAGAAGCATGGGACCGCAAGGACAAGCAAGCGTTCCAGTACCTCTGTTGGGCCTTGGAAGACCAACTAGAGCTCCTAAAGATGCTGATTGATCTGAAGGGCAAGCAAGGAGGAGCTGCACTAGCATGGAAGAGAGTTCAAGATCGACATTTGCAAAAAGGGTTGTTAAGCATACTCACCTGGAGGAAGCGGTTCTACACCATGGAACGCAACTATAGCGATGGGGAGACCATGGTGCAGTACCTCCAGAGGGTGGATGAGTATGTGAGGGCATTGGAGGAGCTGAACTATGAAGTAGATGAGAAGGAGATCATCTACACCGCACTCCAGGGGCTGGACCAAGAAGCAAACGAGGCTCTACTACAATACCTTCACCTAGAGCAGCAGAAATGGACCAAGGCCTGGATATGGGAGGTGTTGGTTTCTGATGAGGCTCGCAAGCGTAATGCTGGTAGAGGAGTTGAAGGGGGAATGGGGGCAGGTAATAGGGTTGCCTCCAAGAAATACCAGCAGCGGCACGGAGGTGGGGGGAAGAAGAAGGAGCTCGACAAGTGCCTCGTCCCTGGATGCAACCGAAAGCACTCTTGGAAGGAGTGCTGGAGTCGACTAGATGGGTGGAAGCCTCAAGGGTACCCAGGAGAGGCTCCACCTGTCACTAGGCCAGAGTGGGTGGAGAGGAGGATGAAGAACGGAGCATGGAACAAGAAGGGCAGCAAAGAGAAAGCGGCAGCAGCGGCGGCAAACGAGGATAAGAAGGGAAAGGAGGACG